AAAAATCTAAATTCTGTCATTACATCACTCCAAACATATGGAGGAATAAGTGTGCCACTTAATAAAATGAAGGAACCAATTTTCATTTTAATAAATACATCCCCTTTCAAATATAATTTATTTAGAATTTAAATATAATTAATAGAATTTAAAAATTTATTTAATACATGTTTGAAATGTACTGAAGTGCAATGTAACCGTGAAATAAATGGACAGACTTTTAACAGTTTAGGTAACAATTTTAGTGTCTTTGTTATATGTTACATGTACTTATTACAGTAATAACAGTGAATTATGCATAATTGCATGCAACTAAGCCTAAACCAAACCCTAATCCTAATTCTAACCCTATAGTAAGTACATGTTAATTAATATTGCTCAGTACTTAATTGTATAATTACACTGTAACAAGAGCACCCTATTAAAAAAATAAATAAAATTGGCGCAAAACGGTCACTGGGGCGGTATCCTTTCAAAAGTTATATATGTGATACTGGTATGTACTTTTTGAAGCACTAATATGTATCTATCTAGGGGTAAAGAAGGTACAAAAATGCACCTTTTAGATTTTTTATCTTAGGAAACCAGCCTAGTGACAGCTTTGTGCCTCTTTTCCTAAGTGTAAAATATAGTGTAACTAAACTTGATGTAATTCTTGTTTAAATTGTAATGCAAATGTATTTACTAACTCAAACTATTTATTATCATAAACTAATAAAAAAAAAAAAAAAAAAAAAAAAATTGGCCTCCTACTTTTCAAAAAAAAAAAAAAAAAAAAAAAAAAAAAAAAAAAAAAAAAAAAAAAAAAAAAAAAAAAAAAAAAAAAAAAAAAAAAAAAAAAAATTGGCCTACTACTTTTCTTAGTGATAGTTAAGCCTAAACAATGTAGTTGTACAATTCACGTGTGAGCAACCAATGAACTTTTGGCAAAATTTTAAGACATGTCTCTTTGACACACAATTGCTGACAGTCATTCATAAGGAATCTTCCCCTCTGCCATAGTTCTCAAATCTCATTAGCAATTCAATTCAAACATGGCATGTTAAGATGCAACGGTCCCCATTAAAAATGAACACTTTGCACAAAACCTCACTATTTGTGTTCCAAGGAAGAATGAAAGTATAACAGCTTTAGAACAACATAAAAAAAGCCCTTTCCTAAGTTAATCTGTAAGAATACTTAATGTTCTTAACACATGCTGTCAATTCTCCAATATTCCCAGGTTTGACCTTCAGACGAAGATCTTACACACGCTGACCATTGAAAATGCTTTCTATCACAATAAGTCCTACCTCCTTGAGAACTCAAAGACCTATTTCAAATTGGCAGTCGATGAGAACGGTATGTGGATCATATTTGCCTCCGACACTGACGACAACATAATGGTGGCACGACTGGATGAGAAAACATTCTCCGTCACCACATACATCAACGCCACCTATCCCAGGACCAAGGTCGGTAATGCATTTATCGCCTGCGGGATCCTCTACGTCACGGATACTAAAGACACAAAAGTGACGTACGCCTTTGACCTCCTGAAAGAGAAGCCTGTTAGTGTCAGTTTAGATCTGAGGGCACCTGGAGGGGTTCTGTCCATGATCTCATACAATCCCAGGGACAAACATCTCTACATATGGGACAGCAGCTACGTCAAGTCATACCAAGTTCAGTTCCACTCAGATGAATAATCAAAAATCAATGACATAATTGCAATACTTTGTGTTTTGTTTTGTCATGTTCATGTATATTTATAAGCAAATAACCAATGCTTCAGTTGCTACCCATATGTGTACCCATATATTTTATTTTCTCGAGTGGATGATAGATCAAGAACTAAATTGTCTAACTAGTGATATTCGCATCAAATATTTGGACACTTCTGCCACCCTCAAATCTCATTGTGTTAGATAAAATATCAAGCCAAGTGTCATCGGAAAACAAAGAGCTTTTATTCAACCGATTTATTTATTTTATTTTTTTTGTATGAAATCAGTTCTATTCAAGTTGATACATTTTAATCATTTAAAGCCTAAATAGAAAATACTACTTTTCTTAGTGATAGTTAAGCCTAAACAATGTAGTTGTACAATTCACGTGTGAGCAACCAATGAACTTTTGGCAAAATTTTAAGACATGTCTCTTTGACACACAATTGCTGACAGTCATTCATAAGGAATCTTCCCCTCTGCCATAGTTCTCAAATCTCATTAGCAATTCAATTCAAACATGGCATGTTAAGATGCAACGGTCCCCATTAAAAATGAACACTTTGCACAAAACCTCACTATTTGTGTTCCAAGGAAGAATGAAAGTATAACAGCTTTAGAACAACATAAAAAAAGCCCTTTCCTAAGTTAATCTGTAAGAATACTTAATGTTCTTAACACATGCTGTCAATTCTCCAATATTCCCAGGTTTGACCTTCAGACGAAGATCTTACACACGCTGACCATTGAAAATGCTTTCTATCACAATAAGTCCTACCTCCTTGAGAACTCAAAGACCTATTTCAAATTGGCAGTCGATGAGAACGGTATGTGGATCATATTTGCCTCCGACACTGACGACAACATAATGGTGGCACGACTGGATGAGAAAACATTCTCCGTCACCACATACATCAACGCCACCTATCCCAGGACCAAGGTCGGTAATGCATTTATCGCCTGCGGGATCCTCTACGTCACGGATACTAAAGACACAAAAGTGACGTACGCCTTTGACCTCCTGAAAGAGAAGCCTGTTAGTGTCAGTTTAGATCTGAGGGCACCTGGAGGGGTTCTGTCCATGATCTCATACAATCCCAGGGACAAACATCTCTACATATGGGACAGCAGCTACGTCAAGTCATACCAAGTTCAGTTCCACTCAGATGAATAATCAAAAATCAATGACATAATTGCAATACTTTGTGTTTTGTTTTGTCATGTTCATGTATATTTATAAGCAAATAACCAATGCTTCAGTTGCTACCCATATGTGTACCCATATATTTTATTTTCTCGAGTGGATGATAGATCAAGAACTAAATTGTCTAACTAGTGATATTCGCATCAAATATTTGGACACTTCTGCCACCCTCAAATCTCATTGTGTTAGATAAAATATCAAGCCAAGTGTCATCGGAAAACAAAGAGCTTTTATTCAACCGATTTATTTATTTTATTTTTTTTGTATGAAATCAGTTCTATTCAAGTTGATACATTTTAATCATTTAAAGCCTAAATAGAAAATACAGGCCTGGTTTCACAGACAGGGCTTAGGTTAAGCCAGGATTAGGCCTAGATAAAACATGAAAAAAATACATAAATAAAACACAAACCTATTCAGTGTTGCACTTTGTCCCAGACATCTAAAACATACCTTGCATTCCTAAAATTAAATATAAATAAGAATTTGTAAAAGAACAAACGAAACTAAAACGAGCAAACAAACGAACAAATATTTTGTGCAAAAACGAAACGTTTTCTGTTCAAAGTGAGAATTTCAGGGCTTGAGAGATGAAAAGGTCAAACACGTCATTTCCAGGAGCAAGCATCATTGTCTTGCGTGGAATGTTTAGCTGTTTGGCTGCTACGGAAACCATCGTGTCAGCAGCGTGTGCGTGTGGAAGGGAGGGGGTGTGTCTCTGGGGCCACGGCGCAACCGCCGGGCTGCCAGGGTACTCTGCCATTTTTACACTCTGCAAATACATTAGCAGCCAAGGAGAAAATGTACAGTAAAAACATAATCCAACAACTGGACTTACACTGATATCAGAAGCACAGTGCTGGTATTTAGATGCTAAAATGTGCACAGAATGAAGACACACACACACATACACACACTTAAAAATGGAGCTTTGAGCACTTTTACAGAGCACGACCAATAACCTGGGAATGGAGTGTGATGATTCAAACAGCTCATGCATACGGCTTTCCTACCAACACGTTATCTGGATTCGTCTCCAGAAATTACAGTAGTCGATCGTTAGAATTGAGGGACCTCATGCGTGTCATATTCTGCAGCACGAGATATTTGTTACAATTCACAGCTAAGGAAACGTGGAGGTGCCGATGAAAGCATTAGTCTTCTACGGCCGCTCCGGTGTTAGAGGATCTGGAATATACTGGCCAGAATGTTGTAGCGGTCGGGAAGGACCCTCATTTTCAGGGTCCCGTCGGCTCCGCAGGTGAAGATCTTTTATAAACCTGCCTTAGAAAATAACATTACTCGTGTGCATCCTGAGACAAAACATTTTCTTTCAGGTAAAACAGCCCAGACATGCATTTTAGTCTGGGATAGGCTTAAGCCTCGTCTGTGAAACCGGGGAATAGTGTCTAATCCAAACTAAGCTTGGAAAAAAGAAAATAAATAAATAAATCCTACACACTACTCAAACGCGCGCAATTACAAAATTTTACTAGCAATGTTTAAAGCCTGAGAAGGGTCAATTGAATAAATCAATTCTAATAAAATTTTGTAGATACAAGTTTGAGTAGTGCGCAGGATTTCAGTTTATCATTCAAAGCCTTACAAACATGTTTTGTAAAATGTTTAGTTTGAAAAGTGACATGTTTGAAAACATGCGCTTGATTTGAAAATTTGTATCTAATGTAATGCATTTTTAAATCTGAATTGAGTGTCCAAATGCAATTTGGGGTTACCATATTTTATTTTTTGGTATGATTTTAAATTTTATGTCGCATTTTTGTTTTTCAGCTAACATGCATTTTAAATGAATATTTATTAATTCATGCAGCACGACCAGAGCTAATTTTTGTGCAAACGGTTCATAAAACCATTGTTATAAATATACTTTACATAAAGATGGTTTTACTAAGTTTACACAGAAATTCCTTCTCCTCTCGTTTCATGAATGAGGCCAAATGCGTGTAAATAATAAATGGAATTTCTATGTGCATTACAAGAATTTAGTAACTTCGTATACATAACCATTGCTGCCATTGCTATTTTATTTCACAGCATCAATTCATTAAGACTTTTCAAGATAACGTCACTCAAAAACCCTACACAATAAGATTAGGTATGTGCATCAATTTAAGGTGAACTTTGATTTTTTTTGTTGACTTCATGTTATAGATATTGTGTTAGACTGCTAGTATGTATAAGACACAAATATATTTGCCAAATGTTGTTTTATTTATATTGCATGCATGTTTATGTAGCTACAAATGCTTGGAAATCCTGAAATAAACCCTGAAACATTTTAATATAAAGACGTGGAGTTGAAACAGTAAAAGTGAAATGACAATTCAAATAAAAAGAATTTATTCAACTTACAAAGATAAAACTTTGACCATGACAGAACTACCTGTTCCTTCAGAAATATCAACCAGTGTTTTGGGGGTTTGCATTTTCACACACGCAGACAGATCAGGCTGTTCAATAAATACACATCAGACCATCGGTTGAACATTTAAAATACGTACAGTTGACATGGTGCCCAGCAAATCAGACAGAAACACAAATATGATTTTAATAAATACCACATACATCAAACCAAATATACTGTTTAGCGTGCTCGCTGCTAAAGGAGTGCATGAGACCGTGACCCGCCAACTTCCAGACCTGAACCAGAACAGGAATGCAGTTATTAGAAATGATGCGCAAAAATTTCTTTACACCAGAAGTTTAAAAAACAAAACCGAAAATAAAGTTTTATAAATCAATTAATCAATTCAATGTATTTAAGCAACATTCAAATAAAAAACTGAAATGTACAGAAAAAGTGAAATTACAGCTGCTGTATGGTTTTTATATGAACTTACTAATGATATACTGTATTAATTTGTTACTGAAATATCTAATAACAAACATTTAATAGCTTATTCACGATGTGTACTCAGATCAGACACTAGCTATGTTTCCATCCAAAGATTCGAATGAAACTTATGCGCAAAACTGTAATATCGCATAAAACATATGCGAATAAAGCACCGTTTCCATCCAACGAGTCAAAGAGAACAAAATCATCATTTCCTGGTAAACTGTGGCACTAAATATCACTAAGAATATAGGAGAAGCCACTGAATATAATAATTTTCAATATATGATATAAACTACTTGCACCTCAGAACGAGCAGACGTAACACAATAAATGCTGTCAATGCTTTCGGAGGTGGATGCTGCTGTATGGGAACGCAGTCGAAATACTTTGATGACAGACTTTGCTCAGGCATTTCAGAATGACCATAACAACATATAGATGCTGTGAACGAGATCGGTCCGCTGCTTGTCAAGTTATCCCGTCTCATAGCGCAAAGTCACATGACTTTTTTGATGCGCATGGAGGAATTTATTCGGTAAATGTGTTTCCATCTTTTATGTTTATCCTACTCACATGTGCGCATCATTTTTTTTATGCGCATTTTTAGAATTTATGCGCATCTTGGCGTTTCCATCCAGTGTTTTTTTTTTATGCGATATTCCAAAATGCGCATAACAATAGGTGGATGGAAACGCAGCTACTAACACAGTAAAAACACACCATAGGAGAAGCGCTAATTAAATATCACCACTGTTATGGCTTAAACCCATCATTCATTTTTTTGGTTGAATATTATTGATTGTTTGTGAAATTTCGGTACATCACTATATATTAGTTATACTGTAGATATATAGCCAGGTTGATGGACTAACACATTTTTACCTATTTGAGATTATTGAATGCTGTTAGGTTAGTGACAGTTTAGAAGAAGTGAACTGCCTTGTGTCAGTTCCAAAAGCAAGCAGACTTACATACTGCAAATAGAGCAAAATATCGCGTGCATTTTTTTAAATGTATGTTTTTCAATATTTTGAAAACTTTCAGCAATTCAGCATACATCTCAATTGCTATCATTAAAGTGTATTATGTACACTACTATTATATCTGCAATAGACCACCATGCTCTCTAGATACCGTTATAAGCAAGAGGTGATCCGACACATTATCAAAATTGTTTATCATATATAGGTAAAAAGAAATGTCCTTAAAAACAAACACACTGAAATGTTTTAGTATAGGCATGAACACTATTCAAATTAAAAACAATATGCTAAATTCTTTACATGGCATAGGCTGAATAGAACAATTCTAATTTCATTCAGGTTGTCTGACATTTTTTACACATCTTCCCAGTCTTTTTATCAAATGACAGATGAAAGTCTAATTGGACACACAGCCTTCAACAACAAAAAGATATGAGAAGCATTTCTCCTTCCATTTAAAAGCTGATACATTTTTTATCCTAAAAATGTGATCGCATTATTATTATTATTATTATTATTAATAATTACACACATTTAACAAATAATTACGAACAATTTTATCTATTGATAGTGAGCAGTAGAAAAAACATCACAAAATGAACCGCTTGCTAGTTTGTCATTTGCTTGAAGATAAAAGGTGGACTTAATGCTTGCTAGTTGCAGTTTTCACACATGCTAGTGAAGGAGGCGCTTTTAGCACTGACTTGGTGAGAAAAAAAAAATTTCTGTCGTTTGGCGATACTTTAAATTCAGTCTAATTATTTCTTTTTTTGGAGTTATCAATGTTTTTAAAGAAATATATTTTTTTTAATGTCACTTTGCTTTTTATGTTTTTAGCATAAATATCCACATAACAGCAACAGGAGATGTTTAAGATGAAGTGTGTCATTTTAGGGGAATATACCTTCATGTTCCCTTCGGCTGAGCCGGTGACGAAGAAGTCTTCAGTGGAGTCCATGGCCAACGCTTTGATGGCTGAATCATGTGCCTGGAATGTGTGGAGCAGCTGTCTCTGACGGATGTCAAAAATACAGACGAATCCCTTCCGGCCGCCTGCGATGATTAGCTGCTGTTTAGGAGCATATTGAAGAACCGTTGCGCCATTCTCATGGCACTGGAACGCTGGATATAGAGAGATAGCAGAATAAAAGGACTTTTTTTTTTTTTTATCAAATTTAAGACTTTTTAAGACCTTTTTTAAAATTAATATCACATTCATACAAAACCCATTCAATCTCAAAATAAATCATGCATCTCAGATTCTTTTACATATTCAACTGCAAAACAGGGTTAAACAAGTTAAATATGTTAAAAAATTGGTTTATGTACTAATATATTAACACACAAATTACTGGTCGATCGATATTTGATTTTGCTGATACGATAATGTTTAAAATAACAACAACAACAACAACAACAACAACAACAGAAATCAATAAAAATATTATTGTGCTGATATCAGTAAAATCTAAATATTGAATGTGTTAAAAGCTGGTCTTTGTCTTTCCCTTCTTTATTGTGATAGGGCAGCCAAAACACCAATAATATCCAGAAAAAAAACTTATTTTGAAAATCTATGCTTTACTACTTCCATCTGCTCATTAAAAAAAAAAATGAGGGTGATAAAATACTGCACTCTTATGACATTCTACAACATTAAAGAAAAACACAAAGTAAATATTGTCATAATTCATCAAAGTTAGAGCATAAACAATCTCTTATGGATAAATGGATGGTATTTACTGATTACAAACTGCTCTGAATGTGCAAGCCCATAAATACGCAACGGTGCCGCTTTTTGACTTTGAACATGCAGCGCTCACATTTAATTAAATAATCGCCTTTGAAGTTTAATAATCACATTAGGCCATATCACGATTCCCATTCTTTAGTCAACCTATTTAAGTGCTCTTAAAATAAATAAGACTGTTGATATACCATTTATGATATTTAAGACTTTTATGACCTTAAACCTGATCAAACTGAATTTAAGACTTTTAAAGGACCCACAAGAACCCTGTAAAACTTAAATGACAGTACATATAATTATATGTAACTAGCAATAAAAGTAATCTTCAACAAACATATTAATAGAAAATGGGCCCATTCTTGCTCTTGTAAATGTCTGTGGTACTATGTAGACATAGTATTAAAATATTCCATCCTCAGTCCACCCAGACCATTTATTAAAACTAAGCTTTAAAACAACACATTTAGAAATATTCATGATAATGTTGTCGCCACCATGAGAACATTAACATATGACTACCCACACATGAACACCCATTCAGTATTTAGATGAACGAAAGAGTGTGGAAAATGTTCATGAAAAACGAAACTTTTTTTTTGTACATAAACAATGACATCATAAGCTAACTTAATAATATAATAAAAAAATGAAATAATACTAAATCACTTATTCAACATATATATATATATATATATATATTTAAAAACATCTTCCCTTAAGAGTCTGTGGACTCACCGTGTATCATAGAGTTACTTGGAGAGATAAGAGTGTCCCATAAACAAACATTCCTGTGGAAGAAAGGGAAACGTTTCCTTAAAAACAATCCATAAAACCTGTTTCTATATGACAGTAAAATAAATCATTTAACTGACCTGCCATCGTTAGACTGTCCTGCTGTGGCAATCAGACTGGAGGACGTAATGAAGGCGAAATCACCGCAGCTTTTACTGTGACACTGCCAGCTCTGAGACAGACACGCAGAGATGCTTATTATTTCATATGATACAGTGACTCTGCATTATCAAACATGTATTTAATAGTAAAGTTCGTTTTTATCATTTGTTTGCAGATGCCACATGCTTTGATATTATATCTACTTCAATCACACTGTTCAATCACACTATGAGGGCAGTTTGTGACCGTCAGTAATGGAAGGCCTGTGCGGTACAAAGATAAAGGTCTTACCAAATAAGGTTTGGGGTTTGAGGAGGTCTGATTGACTTGCCAGAGGCTCAAAAAGCCTTCGCCATCTGCAACACCACACTGCAGACAGACAGCAAGAATGGAGATATTTAAAGGCACAGACAATATTTTCAGCTGTATATTGCATAATGATTCATATAAAGGACAGAAGACACAACAGGATGACATTTTCTGAACAGATGTGCTACAGTACTGGACTTATTATATAACACCACAGACAACTGACGTACTCGCTCTATTCTATGAAGTCAACAGCACATGAACAGACACAAAATGAGCCTGGAAATTATTACACACTACATAAGTAAAACTTACCAAAGGTCAAAAGCCTTTTCAATGCATAATTAACAACTTCTATTTTAATATGTTTTTGTGTTTTAAAATGCAATTTATTCCTGTGATGACAAAGCTGTATTTTCAGCAGTCTTCAGTGTCACATGATTTCAGGATCTAACAGACTGATTTGGTGCTCAAGAAATCTTATTTTTTTAATTAAAATGAATGGAAAAAACCACTTCATATTTCTGTAGAAAGTGTGATAATTTTTTTTCAGGATTCTTTGATTCATAAAAAGTTCAAACGAACAGTATTTTTTAAAAATATAAATATTTTTAACAATATAAATGTCCCAACTGTCAATTTTGAGCACTTTAATGCATTCTTGCTGAATTGAAAGTATTTATTTCAAAACTTACTGACCCAAAATTTTGAACAATAGTGTATGGCTTGGTTATCACGTGGTTATGAGGTTTAATGATTTTGGTAATGACTGCTTCAATACCTTGTTGCCCTGTGAGTTGAAATAGAGGCGTGTGACTCGAGCGTTTCCGGCCTGTCTGAAACAGATGAGCTGCTGTGGACGATTCCACTCAAACATCCTCACACTGCCGTCCTGAGCACCCGTCATATCTGAAAACATGTCAAAGAAGTCAAACAGGAGTTTCATCAAAACCCTACAGTGTTTGTGTGTGAAATAAGAGACACTCACAGTACTGATAGATGGGATGAGATGTCATTCTCTTCACATTATTCAGGTTCCTCTTCATGATCTGTCAGAAATTACACACACACACACACACACACACACACAGTTAAACTCATGAAAGTCTGTTCTCTCAAACTTACACACACACACAACACTGAGATTCTTGCAGTTTCTTCATATTTTACAGTACAATATGCAGTACAATTTACAGTATTCTATAGTATGATTTAGTGAAAGCTTTGCTTGGACTGTTAATTTCAAATTACCCATAAAATATGTAAATCAATGACAGTATCTTTACACAAAAAATGCTGGGTTAAATATAACCCAGCGCTGGGTTAGAAAGGGACAAACCCAGCTATTGGGTTGTTTTGACCCAGCAGTTGGGTTCAAAACAACCCAACCGCTGGGTCAAAACAACCCAACAGCTAGGTCAAAACAACCCAACCACTGGGTCAAAACAACCCAACCACTGGGTCAAAACAACCCAATAGCTGGGTTTGTCCCTTTTTAACCCAGCATTTTTTAGAGTGTACCATCTGATCGCATCCCTGTACCATGGTACCAGATCTTTTGCTACTCGTTGTAGCAAAGCTAACTACACGATCAAAACGATAATTTGTCTGCAGCATGTAGAGCGTGGAAAACCAGTTTGAAAGTAGCTTCCCCAACTCCACAGTGTCATCTTTATCAGCCGTGAATGAGAACAAGAGTGGAGGTTGATGTGATGACGCAGGTCTGTACCTTGGGCCGCTCGGACTGTCTGCGGTATACTCCACTACCGCCAAACGCTCTTATCAGCTCGATACAGACTCATCAAGAGCTCTGTTGAGACCACGACTCACTGTTTGTGTTCTGCTGATAGCAGCCAAAAGAAAACACTCAGAAGCTGCTCTTCATTTGCGGGTGCAGCTCTGTGGGAACGTGACCATCATGAACCGGATTTAATGTGTGCATATGTACAGTGGGGTACAAAATCTGAGACCACTAGTAAAAACGCTTCTGTGTTTTCCCGAATTTAATACAACCCTGTACATTACAACTATTTCAGTAAAGTTTAATTAAGTTGAATTAAAAATGAACATGAATTTGAACGTTTCTTTGAGTATTTGGTTTGTTTCTTCTTCCTGTTATGACAGTAACACTGAAGCTGCATGAACAAAACCTGATGATCATGTTTTCCAGGATGATTTGAGAATCATCTAAAGAGCATCTTGTACCCCAGTGGAAGCAAGAATATCTGACCAACTGTACAAAAGATGGCCACAGATGTACAAATGTCACAAAATTGCTTATTTGATTAGTGACCAAAAAAAAAAAAAAGATTTTATGTAATTTAATAATTTAGCATTCCTTTATTTTAAATTTGTCTAAAACTTAAAATGCTATTTTTATTTACAGGTTTTTTAAAAAATCCTTAATTTTTTATGTGGTCTGAGACATCATGACATAATACTGTTTCAATGAGCCTTTTAGGTCCCACTTTATATTAAGTGGCCTTAACTACTATGTACTTACATTTAAATTAATCATTTGGTACAATGCACTTATTGTGTACATACATGTTTTTACATTGTACTTATATTTTAAATATACCTGCATGTAATTACATCTGTAATTCATTTCTGTAATTACATTTATAATTACACTGTTGACCCATCCCTTACACCTCAAACCACCCTTAAACCTACCCCAACCACCAAATC